GGGCCAAATGATGAGGCCTATACTAACCTGTAACATACTATTATTAGTAAATATGTTTTCAAGGGTATATGAAAAAATAAACAACAAAGGGTATGTGCGTGTTGAACTCATAACTATATATACCTCCTTAATTATGGTCAAGTAACTCATAGTAGGGCCAGGCATCATAGCGGTGGCAAAAACAGCGGCAGAAATTTTCTCAGGGAACCTCTCCATGGCAATAGATATGGAGGCCCCACCCATGCTATGGCCCACCAAGATAACCCTATCCTCTGGTGGGAGAGACTCCATGAATTCAATCAAGGGCTCAACATAGTCCGCGAAGCAATGGACTTGATTTATCTGTTTTGGGTTGTCTCCAGATGCTGCTAGGTCTAGAGCTGTAACATGGTGACCTGCAGAGATGAGCAGAGCTGACAACTTGTACCAACACCATGCCCCATGGCCAGCTCTTTGAACCAGCACAAAATGCTTCTTTTGGGCTTCTGGGTTTGGAGATCGAGAACACATTCTTAGTGAGCAAAGAGAGACTAAAAATTCTAAGGTTTTTGGTCTCTTTTCTTGGCCTATATATATCAGGCATATGCTTAATCTAGATGAAAATTCTAAGCAAAAACTCAATCAAATTGGAGATCGTTTAGTTATTTGATGAGTTGACAACTTATACCAACACCATGCTCCATCTCCATGGCTAGCTCCATGAAAACCTTGTAATTGCACATGTAATCAGTCAAGCTCAAGCTTTTTAGGCTAGACAAAGTTAATATCTAGTTGGTTATTGTTGTTGGTTGATATTAAAAATTATAAAAATAAATAATTTTTTTTTAAAAAAAATGCAATCAAGATCATCAAAGGTAAGCATTAGGCCACTTCCAGCAGCCCCCTAGGGCTTAGGCTGGTGAGGGGCAAGAGCCCAAAATCAAGTTCCAGCAACAAAGGCTGGCCTTGGCAATTCGTGGGGTCCACGAGCCTGGGCTGGCCCGAAGGCAGGAGGAGCCTGAGTGCTGGTGCCATGTGGCGGCTTCTGGGCTATCAGATTCATTTTTGCCCTTCAATCCAACGGCAGAAAATTTTTCTGCAAAAAAAAATACCCAAAATTTGAAATTTGAAACCCAAATTCTTATCTGAAAATCTTATCCGAAAATATTGTCCAAATTAATTGTTTAGGTAAACAAATTTGTTTAAAAAACAAAAAAGTGAATAGCATTTGCCCTTTGCCATGACAACTGCTGGAAGTGCATTTTACTTTTTACAAGGGCAAGCACTATTCACATGAATAGTGCTTGCCCTATTCACATGAATAGTGCTTGCCCTATTTACATGAATAGTACTTGCCCTATTCACTGCTGGAAGTGCCCTTAGGATATGACTAGTCAACTTGTATGACTAATCATCTTTTATGTAACATGTGTATTGCCACCTCATT